GTGAGCAAAGCCCACAGGTAAGTGGGGAACATGGAGACCTGGGAGATGGGTCGGAAACAAGAGGGAGTGTGGGCTATATTGGCAGAGAGAAAGGAGGGTCAGGACAAAACTGAGAGGCAAGATCAAACCAGTATCTTAGATGCCTATATACAAATGTGAGAAGTATGGGTAATAAGCAGGAAGAACTGGAAGTGCTAATAAATAAATACAACTATGACATTGTTGGCATCACTGAAACTTGGTGGGATAATACACATGATTGGAATGTTGGTGTGGATGGATACAGCTTGCTCAGGAAGGATAGACCGGGGAAAAAGAGAGGAGGTGTTGCCTTATATATTAAAAATGTACACACTTGGACTGAGGTGGAGATGGACATAGGAGACGGAAGTGTTGTCTCTCTCTGGGTTAGGCTAAAAGGGGTAAAAAACAAGGGTGATGTCATGCTAGGAGTCTACTACAGGCCACCTAACCAGGTGGAAGAGGTGGATGAGGCTTTTTTTAAACAACTAACAAAATCATCCAAAGCCTAAGATTTGGTGGTGATGGGGGACTTCAACTATCCAAATATATGTTGGGAAAATAACACAGCGGGGCACAGACTATCCAACAAATTCTTGGACTGCATTGCAGACAACTTTTTATTTCAAAAGGTTGAAAAAGCTACTGGGGGGAAGCTGTTCTAGACTTGATTTTAACAAATAGGGAGGAACTCGTTGAGAATTTGAAAGTAGAAGGCAGCTTGGGTGAAAGTGATCATGAAATCATAGAGTTTGCAATTCTAAGGAAGTGTTGAAGGGAGAACAGCAAAATAGAGACAATGGATTTCAGGAAGGCGGATGTTGGTAAGTTCAGAGAGCTGATAGGTAAGGTCCCATGGGAATCAAGACTGAGGGGAAAAACAACTGAGGAGAGTTGGCAGTTTTTCAAAGGGACACTATTAAGGGCCCAAAAGCAAGCTATTCCGCTGGGTAGGAAAGATAGAAAATGTGGCAAAAGACCACCTTGGCTTAACCACGAGATCTTGCATGATCTAAAAAATAAAAGGGAGTCATATAAAAAATGGAAACTAGGACAGATTACAAAGGATGAATATAAGCAAACAACACAGGAATGCAGGGGCAAGATTAGAAAGGCAAAGGCACAAAATGAGCTCAAACTGGCTACAGGAATAAAGGGAAACAAGAAGACTTTTTATCAATACATTACAAGCAAGAGGAAGACCAAAGACAGGGTAGGCCCACTGCTCAGTGAAGAGGGAGAAACAGTAACAGGAAACTTGGAAATGGCAGAGATGCTTAATGACTTCTTTGTTTCAGTCTTCACCGAGAAGTCTGAAGGAATGCCTAACATAGTGAATGCTAATGGGAAGGGGGTAGGTTTAGCAGATAAAATAAAAAAAGAACAAGTTAAAAATCACTTAAAAAAGTTAGATGCCTGCAAGTCACCAGGGCCTGATGAAATGCATCCTAGAATACTCAAGGAGCTAACAGAGGAGGTATCTGAGCCTCTAGCTATTATCTTTGGAAAATCATGGGAGACAGGAGAGATTCCAGAAGACTGGAAAAGGGCAAACATAGTGCCCATCTATAAAAAGGGAAATAAAAACAACCCAGGAAACTACAGACCAGTTAGTTTAACTTCTGTGCCAGGGAAGATAATGGAGCAAGTAATTAAGGAAATCATCTGCAAACCCTTGGAAGGTGGTAAGGTGATAGGGAATAGTCAGCATGGATTTGTAAAGAACAAATCGTGTCAAACCAATCTGATAGCTTTCTTTGATACGATAACGAGTCTTGTGGATAAGGGAGAAGCTGTGGATGTGGTATACCTAGACATTAGTAAGGCATTTGATACAGTCACGCATGATATTTTTATCGATAAACGAGGCAAATACAATTTAGATGGGGCTACTATAAGGTGGGTGCATAACTGGCTGGATCACCGTACTTAGAGAGTTGTTATTAATGGTTCCCAATCCTGCTGGAAAGGTATAACAAGTGGGGTTCTGCAGGGGTCTGTTTTGGGACCGGCTCTGTCAATATCATTCATTAACGACTTAGATATTGGCATAGAAAGTATGCTTATTAAGTTTGCGGATGATACCAAACTGGGAGGGATTGCAACTGCTTTGGAGGACAGGGTCATAATTCAAAATGATCTGGACAAATTGGAGAAATGGTCTGAGGTAAACAGGATGAAGTTTAATAAAGACAAATGCAAAGTGCTCCACTTAGGAAGGAAAAATCAGTTTCACACATACAGAATGGGAAGTGACTGTCTAGGAAGGAGTACAGCAGAAAGAGATCTAGGGGTTATAGTGCACCACAAGCTAAATATGAGTCAACAGTGATGCTATTGCAAAAAAAGCAAACATGATTCTGGGATGTGTTAACAGGTGTGTTGTGAGCAAGACATGAGAAGTCATTCTTCCGCTCTACTCTGCACTGGTTAGGCCTCAGCTGGAGTATTGTGTCCAGTTCTGGGCACCGCATTTCAAGAAAGATGTGGAGAAACTGGAGAGGGTCCAGAGAAGAGCCACAAGAATGATTAAAGGTCTTGAGAACATGACCTATGAAGGAAGGCTGAAAGAACTGGGTTTGTTTAGTTTGGAAAAGAGAAGACAGAGGGGACATGATAGCAGTTTTCAGGCATCTAAAAGGGTGTCATAAGGAGGAGGGAGAAAACTTGTTCACCTTAGCCTCTAAGGATAGAACAAGAAGCAATAGCCTTAAACTGCAGCAAGGGAGGTCTAGGTTGGACATTAGGAAAAAGTTCCTAACTGTCAGGGTGGTTAAACACTGGAATAAATTGCCTAGGGAGGTTGTGGAATCTCCATCTCTGGAGATATTTAAGAGTAGGTTAGATAAATGTCTATCAGGGATGGTCTAGACAGTATTTGGTCTTGCCATGCGGGCAGGGGACTGGACTCGATGACCTCTCGAGGTCCCTTCCAGCCCTAGAATCTATGAATCTATTTGGCAGTATTTAACAGGTAATTATTAAAATACACACACTAGAACAACATAACATACATAAGAACATTAAAATGGTGTTTTTAAAAAGTTTCCATGCAGCTAGCAGACATTTCACTCTTGTGACATTTCCATTTAACCAGCTTCCTCCTTTTTGTGTAGTTTCCCTTTCTGAAGTAAAATGCTGCCATGGTGGGCTTCTTTGGTATTTTCCCCACCACGAAGATGTTACATTTAATTATATTGCAGTCACTTATTACTGAGTGGTTCAGCTATATTCACCTCTTGGACCAGATCCTGTGCTCCACTTAGGACTAAATCAAGAATTGCCTCTCCTCTTGTGGGTTCCAGACCTAGCTGCTCCAAGAAGCAGCCATTAATGGTGTCTATAAATTTTATCTCTGCATCCTGTCCTGAAGTGACATGTATCTAGTCAATATGGGGATAGTTGAAATCCTCCATCATTATATTGTTTTCTATTTTTAAAGCCTCTCTAATCTGCCTAAGCATTTCACAGTCACCAGCATCATCCTGGTCAGGTGGTCGGTACTATATTCCTATTGCTATATTCTTATTATTCAAGCATGCAATTTCTATGCAGAGAGTCTACAGTCATGTTTAATTCATTTAAGATTTTTACTAAATTTGACTCTATGCTTTCTTTCACATATAGTGCCACTCCCCCATAAGCATGACCTGGTCTGTCATTCTGATATATTTTGTGCCTGGTATCGGTGTCCCAATTGATTCATCATTTCACTAAGTTTCCGTGATGCCTATTATATCAATATCCTCATTTCATACCAAGTATCAGAGGGGTGGCCGTGTTAATCTGTATCCACAAAAACAACGTGGAGTCCGGTGGCACCTTAAAGACTAACCGATGTATTTGGGCATAAGCTTTTGTGGGTAAAAAACCCACTTCTTCAGATGCATGGAGTGAAAATTACAGATACAGGCATAAATATATATACATGAAGAGAAGGGAGTTACCTTACAAGTGGAGAACCAATGTTGAAGGCCAATTCAGTCAGGGTGGATGTGGTCCACACCCAATAATTGATGAGGAGGTGTCAATACCAAGAGAGGGAAAATTGCTTTTGTAGTGAGCCAGCCACTCCCAGTCTCGATAGGTCTCTGAAGGCTATGAGCTCCTTGCACCAAATGCACCCATACACCACCTGTCCACAAGGCAGGTAATGATACATGCTGAGCCAATGGAGCATCTTGCAAAGCAAACTCACCATATTTTACAGCAATCCAATTAACCTTCAACCATAGGCGCTGACTCAGTGGACACTCCAGGTCTGGAGCACCCATGGAAAAAATATAGTTGGTGCTCAACACCCACCAGCAGCCCCATGAGCATTAAACATTATTTACAAATATGCATAGGGCAATCCTTCCATGAAGGCATTTAATTAAAAAGCATTTTGCATATTCTTTTGGAAACTACGTTTACAAGTTTTCCCAGGACACTGGTAGTTAACTGAAAGGTATTAAAGGTAGCTTAATAGCAGCAAGACTTGAAAGAGTAAAATCTAGTGCTTAGGTTTTTATAATGTCCTTTAAAAAAAAAACCAAAACCTTGATCCCTCAGACCAACCCAGGATGTGGAGAAACACGAAAGATAAACAAACAGCCCTCTAATTGAATTCTGATAGTCCTAATCCTGAACTGGAAATGTCAGTAGCCTCTCACAAACTTGCTAACATCAAGAGTGAAGATAATGAATACTAAATTTGGCAAGCCTGACAGACTTTTTTAAACTTTAAAAACAACTTTGAAAATCCGAGCTTCGCACTGAGAGTTAACATGTCCTACAATACTATGGTGAGGAGAGCCCTACAAATGTTTACAGACATACACATATGCAGATAAATTAATATTACTATGGTTGGTGCATAAGAAATGCCTATATAGAGATAAAACTTCTTACCAAACCAACAAGGCAAATAGTTATCAATGAAGTGAGAAGAGGAAGCACACCGTAAGTGTTTAATTTTTGTAAAATATATCACTAGAAAATTGCAAATGATTGGATACTTATGTTTGAATAAAGGCACAATCCAAAAGCTGGAAATAACATGGCTACTGAAACAACTGAAGTGCAATTTTACTTCTTTGCACTTTTTTCCAAGTACATAAATGAAAGCTAAGTTAAAAAAAATCAGTCATCTTAAAATACATTATTTTTCATATTTACAAAACTCCACTAAAGTCTGAGATTCAATTAATAATTTGAAGCAAAGTTTTAAATTTGACTTTCAGTGCATGTGTTTTAAGTGTTCCCAGGCTCAAAGAATGCCAAATTCTATTTTATGTCATATTATTACAAGAGGAGAAAAGCGACAGGAACAATGGTATAAACAAAGGGTGAAATCCTGGCCCTAGTGAAGTCAATGGCAAAACTCCCATAAGGATACATATTTGAATGGTGTGAAATAGTCTGAATATAAATTCAAACTTCTAATTGTAAATGGAAGCCTGTGCCACACAATCATGTTTTTTACGTCCATAGAAATTGACAGAAAAATCAACAGAAAAATAAGGATCATAGGACAAGACAATAAAAAACAAAAAGAAGTCTTGCAGTTTGAAGATCGTATCTTAGTTTGCTTCTTTAGTTACATCTTTAGTTTATACATTCAGATCCTGCATTGTTACTTTGATTTGGGAACACATGCCTATATGCAGTCATGACATTAATTTATTTTTGTCATTTATTTTCCTTGCCAAATTGAACTCAGATATGATATGTGGTTTACAATGAAGACCTTGCTGTTATCTAGTTTTCTATCTGGGTTCAACATAACACAAAGCAGGCAAGTAATTTGCCTACAGGTCATATAGTCCATTATCCCATAAGTAGGAAATTACCCCATAACACAATATAATCCAATAGGGAAGAAATTTGTTCTTGAACCATTAGGAAAAATCATTACAGAATATGCAGATCTATCTATCTTACGTGTAAATGTACACAAACATATGGTAATTACATAGTTTTCAGTTTACTAATTAAGTCCTTGATGCTTTGCCCAATTTAAGGCCATGTTGGCAATTTAACAAGAGCACCAAGGTCTGAATAAAAATGTACATAAATTGGGGAGATTGCAGATGCCCTCATCTTTTATACAGTTGTGTGCCTATAATCCTCAACATGCCATGGTCCACTTTTGAGTCTTTCTGCTTGGACGAAGATGGCACATTGTATTCTGGGACTGGAGTTTCCACAGGCTGAACCTTCATGTTAAAACTGAGGGAAACTCCATTGCTGAATGATGCACTTTGTCCTTGTTGTTCAAGGATATTAAAAATCAGCAGCGGACGACCATATATAAATGTCAGGTACCACCCATTTTCCTTCTGAATCCTTCAATCCCTTTGAATGTAACCAAATGATGTCATGACAAATAAAAAATAACAATACTTTCACACTTTGTTTCCTAAACTTCAAAACAATTTTCTTACAAATACAATATATAATCCATAGACTTATGTATTTCTGCTTGTTCCACCACTGCTTACACCATCAAGTCACTTTATTGTTAAGTTCTGATCACAGGTACCCGAGATGAGCACGTCATGCTGGAGGAGTTGGCAATCTCTTTACTATTTCAGTAGTTATCCTTAGATAGGCTTTGGCCTGTAAAAACAAAAACATATTGATCACCTTTTGTTTTCTATATGAAAGCATAAGAAATATAAAAACTTCTGTTCATTCTATGTTCTTGCACACACATTCAGAGTAGTATTTCAATTTCAATGTTGCCTTTTTGTTAAGTTTTAATTATTATTATTTTATTTAAAGTGTTAGTAAGTATCAAGGAAAAATCAACTCCAAATATAGTCAGTTATTTTTTAAATTCCAATCCAAAACTCAGCTGAGCAATCGGCCCTGTCCAGCAGGCAGTGCTTGTGTTCTTCCAGGAAAAACTTAGTTTATTGTGAAGGACCCTTTCGTCCCTGACAGAAAATGTTATTCCTCAAGTTCCACTGTCCTGCCAAGTTGGTTGAGGTGCTGCATACACAATTTCAAACTTCAGACAAAAAACAAATAAAATACTAAAAAGCCAAGTGAATTACATCATTACACACTGGGGTGCACCAAGGAGAATATTACATAGAGTCAACAGGGATTAAAAATGAAAATACCTTTTAAAAGACCATTTCCCCAAGAGATTCATGTGGATGTCCAAAGGGACCAAATGCCAAGTGATTAAGGACCACCCCAGTAAAGGTCAATCACACACCAACCTATGGTATGATGGTGGAGTCCCTAACAAGGTAGATGCTGTCAAAACATGGACGCTCACCAAAATAAAATTCAAGGAGACGGTCTTATTATATATACCAAGGTCCTTTTCCATTAACAACTTTAAAAGCCAACAGAGCCAGGTTCATTATCAAACTGATCATAGATTCATAGACTAAGTCCAGAAAGGACCAGTACTCTGACAGACCATAGAGTTGGACCCAGTAATCCCTGTATAAAGCTCAATAATTGGTGTCTGAACTACGGCATATCTTTTAGAAAAGCATTCAGTCTTGGTTTAAAGATTTCAAACAATGGAGAACCTACCAGAGGCCTTGGTAAATTGTTCCAGTGATTTTACCTTCACTGTTAAACCCGCAACATGCTTCCCGTACCTGGAGGCTACTCTCACCCCTCCATCCTTCTTTCTGCCATTCCCAGCCCCACCACTGTGATATCAGGTGCACCTCTTGTTATCTAAGTGTTCACATATCCATAGAACTGGCCCTCAAGTTTTGGGTACATAAGGAATGCGGGATCAAGGCCTTTATAAATAGTACACAAGGCGTGTATAATATAATCACAATTGACCAAATGAAGGGCCCCAGTGTTACAAAGACAAAGGCACATGATTAACTTTAATCATGTGAGCAATCCCACTGAAGTCAATAGGACTACTTACGAGAGGAAAGTGACTCACTTACCTAAGTCTTTGCGTGGTCAGCCTCAAGTGCAGTAGCAGTATGCTGACATTGCCAAGACTTGTTTAAAATAAGAACTACCAGGATGAACAACAGTATTTCCTATTCTGCAGTTTAGCTTGGAGGCAGCTTTTTTTTTTTCTTTTGAAAGCAATTTAGAACATTAATATTGCCTATGAGAGAGGTCCAAAAATACAATTCTAATCATATAATTATAGTTAGCATTTTTTCAGAAGACTAGCACCATTAATGTGTCTTTCATATTTCCTCCATATGCCTATTCTATAATGATAGTTTCTGTGGGTACTGGATAATGTAACTAAATGAAACAGTAGCAGACTTCTCTACAACCATTAATCTACCAATTTGTGCACTTATAAAGCAGTGCCAAATCAAGGTAACAAATAGCTAACTGAAGAAACTCTACAAGAGATTCTAAAGAATTTAGTTCTGTTTAATCATTCCTACCATACAGGAAATAAGTCTTGTGCTAGGAGTTACTTAACATTCTTCAACACATTTGTAGAATACAATTCTACACCAGTGGGATAAGCTTGTCTTATTTGTACAGTTATGTCGTTTTGAAAAAGGCAAGCTATTTTTAAAAACAGAATCCCAAATTATTAGATACAATTCTGTTTACCATTTAGTACTATACATGCTTCAAAAATTCTTACTTTTCTATATAAAGTATTAAGTTCTTTAATAAGAGAATGATTTAGGGTAATTTCATTATCAGCAAAACCAGCCACAACTCACTTTTATAGTCCCCAAAATATAGTACAGAAGAAAAGTATGGAGACAGCACAGTTATGATGCATTGTTTTGCATATAATTATGATGTAACCCCACAAAAAATGTTTTAAGAAATAATTTTCCACAATGTAGTTACAAGCAAGTCTGACATCACTGAGTGAAACAGAATGAAATGAAAATGTATAAAAAGCTTCTGTTCACAATTCACTAAGTAGTACAAACAGGAGGTGTGTCTTGGAGTTAGTTCTTTAAGTTAGACATAAGCCATCAGAATTATAAAGTCCCATTCCTATACCACAACAGTCAAGCCTTCACTTTTCAATAAAATTCCCATCAAAGATAAGCGGCAATCCTGCTCCCCTTTACCCACAATATGCATATAAAACCCGATGCACTGTAGAAACGATGTTTCTACTTCCAGAGCAGGAGGAGTGAGGAGACAGGCCACGGTGTCCCAATAAAGGTGGACTATACATCCCTTTGCAGGCTGTGGTGACTAAAATTTCAAGGCCTTGAAACCCAATTCATTTTTGAAACTGGGTTTTTCAGACCCTGGTCAAGGTAAAAAAGGAAAAGATCTTCCCACACTCGGGATTTTCACTTGCCATTTTTTTAAAAAACAAAAACAGCTACCCAGATAGTTTATGCAACCAAAGCAAGAATGTGTCCAAGAGCAGGGATTTTTCTAGAGAGCATTTTCCTCTTTTTCCACAAGGAGGGGCTGGCTCATAGAGGCAGCTATCTTTGACTTGTCTGAACACAATTTTCTGATGGGGAGAAGTGCCTAATCCAGGGGTGGGCAAACTTTTTGGCCTGAGGGCCACATCGAATAGAAATTGTATGGAGGGCCATGAATGCTCACAAAATTGGGGTTGGGGTGCGGGAGGAGGTGAGGGCTCTGGGGTGGGGCTTGGGATGAGGAGCTTGGGGTGTAGGAGGGTGCTCTGGGCTGGGAGGGGGATCAGGGCTGGGGCAGGAGTGCAGGAGGGGTGCGGGTTCTGGCTGGGGGTGCAGGCTCTGGGGTGGGGCTGGGGATGAGAGGTTTGGGGTGCAGGAGGGTGCTCCGTGCTGGGATCAAGGGGTTTGGAGAGTGGGAGGGGGATCAGGGCTGGGGCGTGGTGAGAGCCGCGTGGTGTGGCACCGACCCAGCGCCCGGGCTGGAGTGCCAGAGCGGGGCCAAGCTGCGTGGTCCGGCACAACCCTGCGCCCCAGCCAGAGTGGAGCCGAGCCGCGTGGTATGGCTCGCGGGCCAGCTTAAAATGGCCCACGGGCCATAATTTGGCCACCCCTGGCCTAATCCAACCATCTGGCCCAACCATATTTCTGTGCAGCTTCTACACTTATTATGTGCAGCTGTGGTCTTCCCTCTGCTAAGGGAGAGTATATCAATCCTCTCCCTGCTAACCATGTGAATGAGACTGTGAAGAGAAGACATTTTTCAATTCCTATATACAATTAATAGGAGTCTGGGTAACAAGCAAGAAGAACTGGGAATTCTTACTGATGAGAAGAAATTTGATATATCTGGCATTACTGAAATTCGGTGGGATGACTGGTGTGATTGGAATGTTAAAATCACAGGTTATAACTGTTCAGGAAGGACAGAGTAAGCAAGAAGGGTGTGTGGGGGTGGGGGTTTGGCACTCTACATTAACACTATTACCTGTTTTAGAGTTAGTGATAACTCAGAGGCACAGGATTGTTAATGCATACAGATCAATGTGCAAACTAATAAAGCCCAAGAGGATGTATGGTTGGAGGCCTGTTACCGATCACTGAATCAAATCAGAGAACAGGATGAGTTATTCCTTAAACACATGTCTGCAACGTGTAGAAAATAAAACTGTGTTGTGATGCAAGTCTTCAGTTTAGGAGATACATGCTAGAGGTCTCGGAGTTTCTAAAAATGATATGATAATTTTCTAACATAAAAGATATTGCACCCAACACAAGATAATTCTATTTTGGGCCTCATTGTGATGAATAAAGATGAATTAATCACTGAACTGGAAGCTGGTGGTTGCCTTGGGACCAGAGATCATGATCTGATTACATTAAATATAGGCAAAACGGGGGCAAACCCAACTAGTAGTAGATTTATTTGGTGCTTCAAAGGGGTTAATTTCTGAAAGCTAATAAAAATTATGAGTGAAAATGCTTGGGAGCACAAATTTAGACAGAAAAGTGATGAAAACTGGGAGTGATTCCACATTCAAGAAAACTTTGGCCAAAAGCCCATCCTGATACAGTGGTTAAGTGAAGGCAGCAATTAGAAATAAAAAAGCAATACCTAACAAATGGAAAATGGGAGAAATAAATAGGAGCTGATATAAATCAGAAGATATGAAGTGCAGAATACTGATAAGGGAAGCTAAAGACATGAGGGAAAAGTCCATGGCTGGTGGCACCACGGAAAAGAGAGAGCTTTTTACATATAATAACAATAACAACAACAGAAATCCTAGCAATGGTGCAGACCCATTCCTAAATGGAGATGGTAAAAATGATGATAATTATGCAGAAATGACAGAAGCATTCAATAAATATTTCATTTTTGTATCTGAAAGAAGCAGGATGATGTACTCATATCAGATGAAGATAATGAAATACTTTCCAGTCCATAGTAACTGAGGAGGATGTTTGAAGTATTTAGCTACCAGCTTCTAACAATTATAGGTCTGTCAGTCTGACATTGACGGATAAATAAAGAAATTGATATGGGACTCAACTAGAGCTTTCAAGCAATTAAAAAAATTAATCACGATTAAATGCGCGATTTAAAAAAAGTAATCGCAATTAATCGCAATGTTAAACAATAATAGAATAGTATTTATTTAAATATTTTTGGATGTTTTCTACATTTTCAAATATATTGATTTCAATTACAACACAGAATACAGTGTACAGTGCTCACTTTATATTTATTTTTTATTA